AAAATTCATCCAGGATACATATATATTGACTTGTAATTTTTAAGTCCTTGTCAAGATGATTTTGATAATATTTAATCAATATTTAATCAATGATCCTTTAGGTCTCAAAATTTTTATAATTAAATTCTTTTCCACTCAAGTGTAGCAGATTTTTTATTTAGTTATTTTTTAAATCTACTAATCTCCAAATTTCTCATAGACCTATTTCGACGTACAAATTAATGCCCTTTTAGAAAGTCACTGTACTATATTTAAGACGAGAAGGAGAGATGATGTTTCGTTAAGTTAAATCTATCAAGTTCTTGGGTTATTTTGTATTCAATGAATCATGACCAATTACATAATATATCGATAAACATGATTCTATTATATTCTATTATGTTTCAACATCTAAATTTGTTCAAAATTTAAATATTTCATAAATATGTCTTATAATATTCTTACTCCTCCAATATTTCTTACAATTTCTTTGAAACAATCTGAGACCGAGCGAGCGTTAGCGAGCGAGGAACGCCGCTAGTGTATATTAATGCTTAAATCTATTCACCTTGTCACTCTGTCTGCATCTTAAATTCATTTTTGAATCAATTGGAAATATGATTTTTGGCGCTTGCATTTTTCGAGATGATTTTTTGTTAAAAAAAATAACAATCACTCGCGATTCAGAGTTCACTTGAAAAAAAAACGAATACTCTTATAGAATATCCGATACAAATACTAATGACAATTCTCGCTGAATTTTATCGATGAGATAGTACTAATGTATAAATATTGCATTTTATCAATTTAATATGTCAATAAGCGAGCACGCCAATCAGAACAAGCGATTTCATCGACTTGAGTACGAATCGTCGTCGAACGCTTCATTCTTGCGGTAGACAGACGAAAGCGATTTGTATACACGCATGTATCTAATTAAGTGTCGATTGTCTTTCGATGATATCATCGTTTCAAGATAATATTCCTCGTATTTTGTTCCACGTGAAAGCGCTTGGAATAGATTTCGTGAAGAGCATCAGGATAAGATAAGCTACAATGCATTATGAAAAATTGAGCTAATGATTTCCGCTTGAAAGCACATTCATAAAGCGAAGCTTTATGGTGGCTGTCATTGCATATTTTTTCACATCGCACTCGTATTTTTTCTAATTATGTAATGCACACAGAAAATAGCTCTCAAATAAATGCAAAGTTTGCAAAACTTTAAGCACGGTTGTTTGAAAAAACGCAGATCCAATGACTTTTTAAGTTCGCTCATTTTATTAATCTAACAGCTAATATTGAATTTGTTCAATGTTTAACGTCGATGGTAAGAATACATCTTAGTTGAAAATTCCTAATTATTTCGACATGAACAGAAACATTGTAACGACTAGGCCACAAATAAATATATGAAATTTTATAAGATCAAAAGCTGCTACTTGTTGCTCTTATGCTCGTGCAAACTTCTATATAAATCGCCCTGTTTTACCCTTATCATGTTCAACGTAAATTAGTAAAACAGAAGATGCAATCTTTTTGATATGATTTTTCGCTTTGCTTTTGCGTCATTTTTCGTATTACGCAATTGCGAAATTTATGTTCCGTTTGATAATTATTCTAAAAGACATGAGCGTCTTTTTAAATAATTGTGAATGCATCGAGCTTGGTCAACATGAGTACTGCAGCACATTTGTTAGCATGTAGAAGCCATGAAAATGGAATTGCGATGAGCATCGCCATGACTTTAGTTCTTAAGGTGGCTAGTCAGTAATCATAACAATAGTACAGTGAGGCGTATGTCTGCCTCTTTCTTGTATTAGGTAGGCAACCGCTCGCACTGTTCAAAATCAATGATTTTACTCAAATTTTGTTTAATTACTCATTAGTTAGTTCGATAAAGGGTAATTTTTAACATATCAATTGAAAGGTAGTGACTTTAAGCATAACATACTCGTTTTTGGTTAAGATCTGTTGTTGAATAAAAAAGTTAAGGCGTAAAATGTATAAAATTATGATGGCCTTCCATAAGAGCCCATGCTAAATTTACTATTTTCAACGGCTTCGTTCTCAAAAATTAGTTCGATAACCCATGCTGAAATTTCTACAGCATATCAAGGGCACTTTAAATGACATTTCTGCAAAGTTTCATAAACATCTGTTGTCGACCCATTTTACTGATGAACCACCTTAAGAAACACATAGAAATTCTACATACTCTACAATTCTACATATAGAAATTCGACAGATCCAGATGTATAATCAGTTACATATTTTCGAGGCCCTCAAATTGTAAGAATATTGTATTGACGAGTGCGCGAAGAAGGAAAGCTGGAACGATTATGTCTTCATGGGTTTGAGTAATTTAAAAACAATCGAATAAGTAGGTTAATCTTCTATGTGAGTGAAATGAATCATGGATTGTCTCCAATGCGTGCAATATCGTATTCTTTTCGCTTGCCCTACATGACGAGGTAATTTTGAATAAAGCACAGGCATTGCGATAAAATCGAAAATTAAAAAAAATGTTAATGACTGGGTCAAGCCTGTTCGCGATCTACACGTGTTTCTTACTGAGAGACACAACGATTACGTGAGCGGAAGCATCGCAATGTGAATTGTAGCTAGCGTGATATAACTTTATAGCTCGAAGCCGTAAATACACACGATAATAGAATGCTTGCTTGGGCGTAACGCTCATCTAAAGAAAGTCATCGAACCGAAAGAAACACTGAAGTGCATCGATCACTCGAAGCCAAGCTTGTATAAGAAAGCCGTAGGCGCGCGTGCAGCTACAAATTGCATTATGGGGTAGGTAAGGCTGAGCTATGTGCTGGGTTGGGTACGCGAGTGCTCGACTCTAGTCGAACGATCGATCGGCCGATAGTCGTCCGCACGCGAGGGCTGAAGCTCGCGCGCACGGCACCATTTCTATAATATTGTGCGTGTGCGCACAAAGCCGAAGACAGAGAAGATAAACTTATTATAGGACCGATTCGGCGCTACTGCGATTTTGTCACTTGTCAAACCTGCTGCTCCGGGTTCTCTTTTTTCCCTCTGTAAAGTGCATATATTTTCCTGACATTGAGTCGCGCGGGGGGGCATCGATTTACAAAAAGATCTTATTTCTGATCAGATTCGCGAAAACTTTACCATGTAAGCGTGAGTCATTTTGACAGTGACTCGGTAGTGATAATGAAATAATAAATCTGCATGTTATTTTTTTTCTTCAAAATTTCTGCGAACATCAACTGCATTATTCTTAACAAATTTACGATAAAACTGCTCTGTTGTTTTTTCCCGAAATTCTGAAACGGCTGGAATTTTATTTGACCTTTTTACATGGCTGTTGCCTTAGCTATATTGAAATTCATATCCGCCAACTCAACGACTTCCTGCCATGCTTTCACACCTCGAGCGCGTAATCGTGACCGGTTAGTCACCATTCGAGTAGAAACAGCGAAATTGAAATTCAACAGAGAATGCTGGAAAAGCTCATGCATAAGTCTTGAAATCACGTAAGTTTGAATGATTGAACAAAGAGCCATCTAATATAGTACAAATATAATAACTAAAAAAAGACATTCTCGGACAACATAGAAGTATTCTCGGAAAGAAAAATATGGCACCTGCGTGTTTGCAAGGTTACGTACATGTATCGGTAATAAATCTGCAAAACACTAACGAGTGCAAGTTTGACTCGAACTTGGTAAAAAAGTATTCAAGAGTACGTATGTGTGTACAATATGGTCGGTTTGCCTTGCGTATATGTACAGGCGGCGACTGGTACAACAGCTGGCCGTTGGCTTGGTGGGATAGGCAATTTTTTTGTATACCATATCCCACCCATCCTGGCCCATGCGCGCCAAGAGTAAAGACAGCTTCGTGGCTTTTAACTGGAAAGCTAAATTCTCCAAGAAGCAATAAACAAACAAAAGAGAAAAGGAGCGAGACAGAGAGTTGACGCGCTTGTATTGCACTGTAGAGTGCATCGATCGAGGGTAAACCTACAGTGTGTGCCGCTTCGCAGTGGCTCTAGGAAAGACGCAAAAGCGGCTTCGAGGCTTGACGTAGCACACCACGCCTTTGTCTCTGCAGTCGGCTCATCGGCAGGTTGAAAAAATTCTATGCGGCTTGCATATTTTCAGCTCTAACGCGCACGAATAATCTTGGAGCAATAATTGTTGGATGCAGGAACTAGGATGTCCGCATCGCGTAGGTGTCGGATTAGTATAGCAGCCGAGCTGGAAAACTGGGGCTTGCTAAGTATCAAGAGCAACAGGCTAAGCTTAGCTCGGAGTCACGCAATGTGTCCGCAGTGTCGGCAGCGGCGTTCCCTCCCACGTAAACAGATCCCACTCGCGTCTGAATCTATGCAGTGCGAGTCGTTGCGCCATGTATACAAACAGGACTGCCACGCATCGGTTAAACAGCTGATTTTTACCTGGAACTGCGACGTTGGAGTATCGTAACAAAAAATGGTGGTTAAATAATTGGGACGCGCTCAATAATTCTTCGTGCATATCCTGGCTAAAGGAAGAATTTTTTATGTAAGAATTTCATGGTATGTCTCGTGATATCGCGGGCGCAATCGAGTCAGTTGCTCTCGATTTTGCTGCACCAAGTTTCTAATTGTAATCGACTTGCGGATTTGCTATGAAGCTATGCAAGTAAAGGGTTATGGTATAAATATAGAAAGAAAAAAAAAACAATCTCTCGCGATAATGATGCAGTCTGCTATCTATTCGTGAGGTGTAGCATCTCTGCGCTTTTCTAAATACTAGATGGATATTGAGAGTTGGATTTGCACGACCTACGAGCACACGGCGCAGTGCACAAAGTGCAAGAAATATCGCGAGCTATTCACCGGAGCGCCGAGGCAAAAATAATCGAAGCGCTGAGCGAGAAACGCATGGCCAAAAACACAGGCGTAAAAGTGGGAGGAGCGCAGAGCGATTGACAAACTGCTGCAGTCGTAAACGAAGAGAAAATCGGCAAGTTCGAAGAAGTGGCTGACTCACCTAGATCTTCGACGAGCCTGAGCATGACGCCGCCGATGTGCAGCTCGCCCTTGACTCGCAGGCTGCGCTCGACGTTGAGATCGGTCACGTAGATCCGTAGCACCCAGCTACCATCGATCTCGTGACCGTCCGTGTAAATACGGCTGCTCATCGTAGCTGCTGCTGTCGCCGTCATGGCTTCTCCAACGGCAACAGCTGACTCTCTCTCTCTCTTCTTTTTTCTTTCACACTCTCGCTGCGGTGACTCGATATGTATGCTCGAGCTGCGGCGACTCCGCTCAGCGATGACTCGCTTTCAAACACTCAACCAAACGATCCACGATCGATTATTAAACACAAGAGCGACACAGAACGCGCGAACGATTTGCGAGGATGCCGCTGTTATCACAAAAAGAGTAGTCACTTCATGGCACTGGGAAAAAACCAAACACGAACGAGTAGTGTCGAGGCACGAGTAGCCGCGCGACTCCGATTCTGTGCACTCTGGCGAGGCGGACTCGCCGAGCAAAATGACACGCTTGCTTCTATCGGTATGCCAGCGCGCTGCATCTGTGTGTTGCGTATGCGTGAGTGTGCGTTCATGTACGCGCGACTATGTGTGTGTGTGTGTATGTGTATGAGCGCGTTTGTATAGTGTCTGTGCTATACGGACCGTAGATGCAGGAGCGCGAGCGGCCGGTAGCGAGCAGCGAGCGTACGAGACCCACTGATCGCGATCCGCTTATTCGCAGAGTCTAGAGCGGCAGACCCCCGCTACGAGGCAGAACTGTGAATACTGACTGACTGTGCGGCGAGCTCGCTGCTGCCAACAGCTCTCGAGTCGAGCGCCACACGCCTACGGAACGCAGCATAGATGCTTAGCCCGTCGGTGGCAGCAGTGCGCGGCTGCAGACCTCGACTGCCTGCGCCGACGTCGCCGCAATTCCAGCGCATGTACGAGAGCAACTTTACCGGCCTACGCATAATATTATGATCATTTGCCTTTTTCACCGCTCGGCAATTGTTTACGTACCCGGCCCAAGTAGCGATATCCATTCTTTACAAACTCATAACAAATAATGAGTGATCTACCTTAAACAAGCTCAAATTCACTTAGTAACTTGAGTTTCTTTAAAAAATGTTCTAGAAATGTTCCAAAAAGTACGATGATCGTTTTTTTCTACAGCTCATAATTCATTTTTTTATTTCAAAGTACGATTTTGGTCTCAAGAGTACAATCAATTGTCAACTGCATCGTTCTCGGGAGACTTGAAATGTTTTGATATCAAATTTACCTGCCTAAAAATGTCAAATAATTATTCGGGTGAACTTGCAACGGTGTTCTACTTAAATAATCCGAGCTATACAAGAACTTGATTTGGATTTTAAAAATATGAAGGAATTAATTGAATATGCCAACAGTTCAATTTTTAGAGTCAATAACGCATACTTTTTTTCAGTTCTCCGTAGAAAAGTTTGAGCGTGAAGTATAATACATACTGTTTGACTTATGAGCATTTCCCGAGCTTTTTTAAAGAATTTTATAATTATTTAATTGAAAATAAATTATTGCATGAACATGAAAATAATTTTAGTTGTGTATTTTTTGTGACACACTTTCTGCATGATTTGTAAAATCAAAAACATTCTTTTATTATTCATTATACTAATAAAGGAAAACAACTATCGCTAGTGCCATCAAAATTGGCTCATTCTTAATTGTTCAATTTAGTTTTTTTCTGCGGAGGAATCAACAATTTCGATTAAAATAACTATGAAGGAGCCTAATCTTTCATATTTTTAGAAATAAGAATTGTAGAAAATTTAAAATAGTATGAAATTGAAAATGTTCGTTTTCTTAAATTAACGATAGAATAAAAACGGGAGATTGGAGCAATGCTAGTTCATTATGAAAAAAACTAAACGACCATGATTCACAATTCATTTTTTCCAATGCACTAACTACTAGATTTAACTGTAAACACTTTATGAGTAAAAAATTTATGATTCATAATACTGAATTTTTAAACTAATTCTTTGTATCGAAATCTGATTTTGTTCAATTTTTTCGATTAGTAATGCCATTTTGCTATTTATAGAAAGATTTCGAATGCGTAAATTATTTGAAAATAAAATCTGTCTACTTTGAAACGAGTAAATGTAAGAAATGTAGAAGGCAGAAATATTGGCCCGCACGGTTGTGCCAATCGATTCAAAGGCGCAAGCTCAGAAGGTCTGGAACTCAAGCGAAGCCGTACGTGCAGTGAGGAAAATTCTACTCGCGCAGCCGAAACGCAGGCGCGCTTCCGTCCGCAGAGACTCTCGCGCTGCAGCTGGCCAGTTAGTAAACACACATGCAATTGGAATCGCGACCATAAAAGTCGGATTAACTGCAGCCAGCAAGAACCGCAGTGTGCGCGCAGCGAGCTTTCGTTCGTACGCGAGCCACGTCGTATTTACGTCCCTCTCGCGCGATAATCATCGGCCATGGTTTTACAGCTGGTCATGATTCAGGCGCAAGCTCCGATCGTCGAGGACGAGGGAATCTTTGGCGGCGACATTGTCAAAAACTGAGCAAAGCTGCTCTCGTCGTGGGCAACTCGATAATCGAGCAATCACGGAGCCTCCAGCCTTTTGTAAAGTAAGTTCAGCACGAAAAGTTCCCAGGACTAATAAAGTTCAGCCTTCGACGAGCTTTTTATTTGCTTTATCACGGATGTTCGGGAAACGATTTATTTAGTCAATTATTCATCCGTGGCATTATTTTTCGACGCACGATTATCGAGCAAATATTTTGTGTCGCCTATCGAGACGAATCCTCTCATTCGTCATCGTAGCTCGTTGGAAATTGACGCGACTGGGTTTTTCACGCACTCGATGGCACGCAATAGAGAAAAATATCGGTGCTAGGTCCGAATAGGGTCACGAGCTAAGCCGTTGACACGCAGCACCAATTTCAAGCACAATTGCAAGTTGCAACGACAATTTTGATGTGCGCACGCGCTCGCTCGCGGATACGTACAAGCTGGACGCGTTGGTCGATCGTTCGTGCGGCGGGAAAGAATTGAAAAAGCTGCAGCTTGCGATGTCGTTCGACAGGTGTATCCGGTGAGTCCGGTGACGGGGCCGGGCTCGGCCAAGTCGGTATGGGAGCTGAGTCCGGAGCCGGAGTCGATGGCGGGACCACCGCTGCTGCCACCGTCGCCGGCCGCGGCAGGGACAGCCGGCGGGGCCCGGCGCGGCCTCGAGCAGAGCAGCCCGGGCGCCGCCGGCAAGGGAGCCGCCCCCTCGGCGGAGGGCCGCCGCCTGCTGGAGCTGCTGCGGGCCGGTGAGCTCGAGGCCGCGGACGAGCTGATCGAGCTGCACGGGCCCGGCATCCTGGGGGCCCGCGACGAGTGGGGCTACACGGCCGGCCACTGGGCCGCCCTCGACGGCGACCTCGAGCTGAGCCGCTTCCTGCTGGAGCGGGGCGCGCCCCTGGACCTGCCCTGCCTGGGCACGCAGGGCCCGCGGCCCATCCACTGGGCCTGCCGCAAGGGCCACAGCGCCGTGGTGCAGCTGCTGCTGCGCCGGGCCCACGTGGCCGTGGACGCGGCCGACTTCAAGGGCCTGACGCCGCTCATGACGGCCTGCATGTTCGGCCGGGCGGCCACGGCGGCGCTGCTGCTGGGCTCGGGCGCGGGCCCGCTGCTGGCCGACGTGAACGGCGACACGGCCCTCCACTGGGCGGCCTACAAGGGCCACGCCGACCTGATCCGGCTGCTGCTCTGCTGCAGCGGCGTCGAGGCCCGCCAGGCGGACCACTTCGGCTCGAGCCCGCTGCACCTGGCCTGCCTGGCCGGCCACACGGCCTGCGTGCGGCTGCTCTGCGACAAGGCCGACGTGGAGCTGGAGCCGCGCGACCGCAACGGCAAGACGCCCCTGCAGCTGGCCCAGGCGCACCGCCACCTCGACATCGTGCGGCTGCTGCAGGCCGAGCAGAGGCGTCGGGCGCGCTGCCTGCCCCCGGTGCTCCAGCGCCTCTGGGCCCTGCTGTTCGGGGGCGCGGGCCGCAGCAAGGGGCCCCTCCTCCTCTTCGTCGGCTCGGTCCTGCTCTGGGGCTACCCCATGTACCTCTACAAGTGCGTCCCCATGACCTGGGACCTGCTCAGGGCCAGCCACTACTGCTTCATCTACTGGAACGTGCTCATGTGGCTGTCCTGGCTGGTGGCCAATCGCCGCGACCCCGGTTACTTGCCGCGCAACAGCGACGCTTACTACCGGGCCATCAAGCAGGTAATGATCGTCCTCGTTACGTCCTCGCTGCGATTCTGCTCGCAGCTGACGACCGACGTATTTTTTTCAGATACCCTACTACGACAAGTGGAAGAAGCGCAACCTCGTGCTGGCTCGGCTCTGCCACAGCTGCAAGTGCTTTCGACCGCTGCGCGCCAAGCACTGCCGGATCTGCAACCGATGCGTCGCCTACTTCGATCACCATTGTCCCTTCATCTACAATTGCGTGGGCCTGCGTAATCGCATGTGGTTTTTCCTCTTCGTGCTCTGCATCGCCATCAACTGCTCCTTCACCATATACTTCGCCTGCTACTGCATCGCCATCGAGGGTCTTCACCTGCTCTACGTGCTGGGCCTCTTCGAGGCGCTCGTTTTCTGCGCACTCGGCTGGATTCTCACCTGCACTTCGGTAAGCTCCGTCGCGGCTTATTTTTCGCTTCCATATCCTATATATTATCTTCCTACCGCCCAGTCTCACGTTCTCTTTGCTCCTCTCGACAAGGTTCTTCACGCCTGCATGAACCTCACCACCAACGAGATGTTCAACTATAAACGATACTCGTACCTGCGCGACAAGCGAGGCAAGTATTGGAATCCTTTTAGCAGAGGACCCCTCTTGAACTTCGTCGAGTTTTTCGCCTGTCCTTCGGACCTTTTCGGCAGCGATCCGCAACATTACCAGCTTTTTCAAGACGATAATATAATGTGACAACAATATTACTGCCTCATTGTTTCATCTGCTGCTCTTCTTATCGTGCACGCTGCTTGATATATTGTTCATCGACTTTTTACAATCAAACAAACAACATTTCTACTACTCGGCACATTGTACAATTTTACAACATCTGTATACAAATTTATCTTTCGGCAATAATTCATATTTTTTTCTTGTCTTTCATCGCTACCTAAACAAACATTGCCGTTGTTAAACCAATGCTGGCAAATAGCAAGCAAATAAATAAATACTTTTTTTGCTACTGTAAAGTGTTCTTTTTTATTAAAGTAGCTCATCTTTAGTTACAAGAAATACTGGCGATACATAAAACATTGCAATACTTGTAAAGTATAAAACTATTTTATTTTAAAAGTCGTACAATATCAATGGTATATAGAATATTATCTAAAATCTTAAAATATAATATAATATATGATATATTTTATAAAAAATTTGCATTTATAATTATAAAAAAAGTTTTTTAGTTCTTGGCAGTTTATAAATACATAATCATAATTAGAATAGATCCTTTAAATTACTTTAACGGTGCACAATTTTTGTGAAAATCATCTTTTTCTCAAATTAATTAGTTCAAACATAAAAATATTAGAGATTGAGTTTTCGTCGAGAATTCCACTCAAGCTATATCTTTGGCGGATCGAAATATTCACATTAAATTGTAAAAATATTTCCGAGTGTAAAAATCTGTATATAAAATTATTTTATAAATTTTTTTATACTGAAATGCATTAAGCTGATTGATAATATAGTGATCGATTCTTCCAAATTTGAATAAAACGATCTACACATCATAGCAAAAGTCATAGTTGGGTGGTGGATCAGGTATTAATGGTGGATCTTGTGGAATGTCAATTCCTTCGGCATCTAATAATCTAAGTTTTATATCCATAGATAAAAGTGTATCTAAATCTTTCTCCGTTTCTTTGCTGGTCATTCGATTTCCTGCAAAAATTATCTCTTATGAATTACAATCAAAATTAAAAGCTTCGTAGTTGAAATAAAAAATTCATACCTAATAAAGAATTAATACCATCAGTCCAATAATCAAAAATCTGTTCATCTGGAGCTACAAAGTCCAAACTTGTTGTATCTACTGAGTCCAAAAGCAAAGAAAAAGCTAATTGATGAGTTGTTTTGCGTCTTTGTAAATCCTTCATATGAGGACAGTCTCTGCCAGTTAGTAGACCCCGAATTTCTACAATGGCTAATTTTGTAGGTAGTTCGTCAATACTTGGAACTGATTTTTCATCACAGTCGCCATAATGGAAGACTTTGTGATTTGGTGATAGGCGAACATACCAAAATTTGTCTTTTATTCGCTGAAAGTGAAATTTATTTTAAATATTATTATTTTGTATGAATCTTACAAAAGCTTGCTATGAAATTTTTTTTCGCAAAAATACAGAAAAAACAATATTAAAATATTATACAAATAATTAAATTAATCAAAAAAATTACCTGTCCTCTTGAACTATACTTTGTAAATCGTGTTCCTTCTACAAGAAAGCCCAGTCTTTGCTGTTGAATTAAAGCTATAATATCAGGTGAAATTTGTTCTTTTAACTCAACTATAGGTCTAGCCTGACTCTCCCATTCTTCCCTATCAGTTCTCTCTTGTTGCCACAAAGTTGTTATTTGTGAATAAGTTAGTTGTTGTAATTTATTTTTGAATTTATCTAAACCAGTTGGTTTTGATTCCAGGGCTCTTTTGATTTGTTCACTTACAACAGAAAAGACCTTAACAAAATCTTCTGTGGTAGCTCTCATTTCTTTCCATGTTCTGTTTAATAAGATTATACAAGCACAATAGAATTCTTCAAAAGGATTATCATGTGTAAAAAACATGGGATGATATGATTGACCTTGTTCACTAGGAGCTTCACCAATTTTTAAAATCTATACCAAAAGAAATATTGTGAATCCAGCAGAATAATTATTTATATTTTCATAATTAGTACTTACTTCACACAATCGTTTGACAAGCTCTATACTTGTTCGTCCAAATGGACATTCATGCTCATCAGCTCTGCAAGAATTTTCTAGTACAACTTTTGTGTAACTTTCAGAATGGACACGAGCAAAGTAGACCATACAATCTAAGGCCAGCATTCCTGGTGGTGTTTCTGTAAAATCTAACGCAGGATTAATATCACATTTGAATCCAAGTTTCTTATAATCTCTAGCAATCAAGCCTTGCTTTCTTGAAGTCACATCAATGTTGTTGGTTCCTTCTGAATCAAATGCAATTTTACGCAATTCTTTAATTTTTTCATGAGCATCCTGATCTAAGTTATCCATTTTAGTCATCATTCGCTGTTCCAATAAACTCAACAGCTGAGTTTGCATCATATAGAGTTGGTGAGCCATTTCAGAGCCTACCTAATAGGTAGAGATTCAAATGTTAAGTCAATAACCCACACTAATTTTTTGTAAAATAATGCAAATTTAAATTTTTTCAACTCACTTGTCCAGTAGATTGAATGACATTTGCAAGAATAACATTTCTGACTGATTTAGACTGCAAAGTTAAAGCGATTTCTTTACGTTTAGTTATATCTGCTTTTTGAAATAAAGCATTGATCAAAGCTATGGCATTTTGTTGAATTTGAGAATTTATATTTTGCAAATGTCTAACTAAGTTTTGAAATATTATTTCCTTTTCTACGTGGACAAACTTTCCAGCAGAATTCAAAACAATATTTTCAAGAATGCTCAAAGATGCTTTGATAACGTTTGAATCAATTGTTGTTATTTGATTGTTAACATAACTGGCAATTTTACAAATGAATGGAACTTCAACAATATCCCATGATACTATACCAAGTTCCATTAATTCAACAAATGATTGCAAACAATAAGCCAATGCATTGAATTTATATTTTTCATTTTCAATCTAGAAAAAATACAATATCATTTAGTAAAAGTACAAATGGTTTATCAAGTAATACTACATTTGAAAAATTTTAGTTACCTGAGAAATTATAAGAGCCAATCCATTTTTTTCTATAAATTCATTGGCAAATGTAATATCACGACTGAGTCTACTAAGCTTTTCCAGGGATCCAACAACTTTTTCTTCAGGGTTCCCATTAGTGAGTTTTTCAAGTATGTCACTTGCAGTCTTAGATGGTGAGTATTCTAATTTTAAAATACTCCCATTCTTAACTTCATTTCTATTTTTTTCTGTTATGTAATTTTGATTACTCTCTGAAAATTGTAACGCATATGACTCATGATCTGGAAGGTCCCAACCATTGCAAAGTTCCTAAGAAAAAAGGATTTATGTTCAGTCAACTAACAGTTGATTATAAGCATTACTATAAAGTAACAAACCTGAATAATTGCAGTCAAAGGAAGAGTCTGATTAAATTCAATCAATTGTGCTACTTGATCATTGAGTGACTTTACAGCTATTTTAACGATGTTAGAATCTTTTTGTGCAGGCATCTTTATCGTTTGTGTATACATGTAAGATGTCCTATGTCCAATTTTTAATACTGCAGTTGTCTAGCTCTGAATTTTCAGGGTATTTTTCTGGTTCAAAAATCACTCTTAGTTCCAAAAGTATTTGAATTTTCGTTACTTTTTTATTGCATCATTTATGCTCGCTTTTCATGGTAGGTGTGACCAGTTGAATATTACGCTTTCGCACCTATATATAGTTTATTTATTCTTTATTTTCTAATTAGCATACTTTTTCAAGTAAAACGATTGTAAATTGTCAAGTAAAAATAATAATGGCGACGTAATGGTTGTATGTGCAAGTGTTCTATCCCCATGACTTGAAAGTCGAGGTATAATATGTACAAACATAGACCATAGCAGTTCAGTACACATACACACATTTACCACACACTCTTAACTCCTAAGTCATAACGCGACTGCCATTTGCGCACCCCCTCTTTCCCACCTAAAGAACTATACGTACGTATAAAATGACTCATAGTCCATACTGTCAACAATAGACATGCGTCGCGCGAAAACTAGGATTCAAAAAAGCTCAGTTTGAATTTTTAGCTAATTTTTAGTATTGGTAAAGTACTAGTAAAGTAATATCCACAAAATTAAAAATATTTTTATCAATGCAATCTTATTCAGTAATAAAAAATCTTCTTTACACTATTAAATTTTTACATGAAACAAAATCGAGTTTTGTACCTTTATCGTACCAGTCGTACAATCGGATTATAAATACGGTAAGTTTTTAATATTTACAGTTTTTACAATTTATATAAACGTAAAATGAGGCTTAGACTTGTTTAAACAACTTGAATAATACTAATTTAATGGAACATTTATGTTATCCCTCTGTATTTTGTCATCTGATTTTGGAGTTAATTTTACTGCAGAGAATTGTTGTCCCAATAATTTCATTACATCAGCATGTTTCATTGTAACTCCTTTTTGTTTTACCAAGTGATAATTTTCTTTTACATAAAGTGCAAAGCCAGAAGGTTCTTTTGCATTTGCAGCACTTTTTTGAACTTTTCCATTTTTTGTTACTTTATTTATGAGAAGTTCAAATTCTCCATGGCAGTAACCACATCGTTTTTTATTGAGATCTAAAGATTTTGAGTGCCTTCCAACACTATAACCACAGGATTTGCATTTGTAAGTGAATTTTGTTTGAATTTCATAGTTGTGACATCGAGATATTGGTGGTAATTCTGGGAAAGCTTTCACAGCCTTAGTAGCCCATGCTTTCCAAAAATTACCATGTCCATCTGATACGCCATTTATGAGCCAAGTTGCTGCATGGCACATCTCATGAATTAATGTATCTCGTAAACGATCAGGAGAATCTAAAATCTTTGAAGCAAGAACAATTCTTGAGGAACGAACTGTTTTACCTAAAGCTTTAAGTGATTGTTTATTGTAGCATTTTCCTGCAGTACCTCTCAATCTAACACTCCATTCGATCAACATGTCCTCTGGTAATTTATTATCAAAAACATTTTCATTGAATAATTTATAGAGTATTTTGCATAACTCCTCTTTTATTGATGGATACTTTGCTTTGTAAATCATTGCTTTTAAATCAGATTCTTCGAGTGGAACATCTTTAGATAAAGATGCCAAAAAACTTTTTTGCGATATTTTTTTTTCTGTTGATGGTTTACTAGTCGACTCACAAGTTTGAAAATTAACTTTTTTATTTGCTTTTACAATATTTTTAGGAAACACAATATCTTCTGGATCAAATTCACTTGTATCAGAGCTGCTTGATGAATCAAAAGTGAGTTTTTTTTTATTATCATTTCTTTTCCACATGTCATCATCTGTTTCAGAATCACAAATTGCCAACATATTGTTTTTGTTTTTTTTGTTGTTCATTTTTATTGTTGAGGGAGTACCAATTTTCAAGTTATTACCATTATATGGTGCTGGGTTACTAAGAGCTGTGTAATAAGAACAATCTGGACTACTTTCATTTGTTGAATCATCATTTATGAAACTATCATGAATGTTTTTTTGCCTTCTTGACTTTTTAATTGTAGTTTGTGCTTTTTGAATCAAAATGTTTTGACCATTCTCTTTGCCCAGTAAATTATTATCCGAAACATATTCATCATTTAGTTTTGTAGAATTACTTTTTTTTTTTGTAACTATTGAATTTTTTGTTATTTGTTTGGTCGTCTTTTTTCTTGGTTCTGAAACTGATACTAGTGATACCGCTTTATTTCTCCAAGTAGAACCATATAGGTTTTCTAAAATATCTGCACAATCGTTAATTGTTGTATCTATGATCGGCACATGGTCGTTATCTAATTGTTTACTCTTATCATCTATTAAAATGACATCTGAACTGTTTCGTGAATCTATATCTTCACTTATTAATGAAGATGGACAAATAAAATTATTTGTTTTAGGTGTTTTTTCTGATGAGGGTGTTTTTGTAAAATTTTTATCTGATATAAACAATTCATTGGTTTGATAGCCACTTGATACTGGTTTTTGCAAAGTTACTTTCTTTGAATTTGATTTTACTATGTCAATGGAAGATTTACTTGAGCTCTTAGTTGAAGGTGTATTTAAATCAAATGAGTCAGGCAACCAATTTTTTGTTTTGAGAATTTTGTTTGTTGGAGTAGTAGTACCACTTTTACTTGTGGGTGTATCTAAAGTCAATGAATATGATTCAGATGTAATGGTTTTTTTTAAAACAGAACTTACTTTATTGGCTAATGGAGTTCTATCAGAATTGCCTTTTTTAGATTCATTTGACGGTGTTTTATCCAAATGTTTATTGGTAGGTAATCTGTTTTTCATCAAGTCTAATTCAGAATTGTTTCTTTCTAAATATCGGTCAGTGGTGCTCTGTTTTCTTTGTGTTTTTGAGGAGTTTGATTCTTCTTCTAGCCTTTTCAATCTTGAAAATTTGTCACGATTATTTGGAGTTTCAAAATTCATTTCAAACCGTTCCAAACTACTGTTTCCAGATGAATTTACACCACTATGTCTGCTATCAGCAACAATACTTTCCTGACTGCATGAACTTCTACATTGAGAACCATCAAAATTCATTGAAAGCCATCTCATGATTTCTTTCTTCTTTCTTTCCGAAAGAGTAACGCTTTCAGATACTGTATCTTTTATGATTTGTGGAACTTGACTTTCATCAATTTCTGAATCGTCACTTTCTTCTATGATAATTTTTTTACCAACGTCTTTGATAGATTTCTTACATGTCATATTAGTTGGGTATTTTTCTCTAGAAGAATGATTACGCCAACATTTTTGAGGTGTATTAGTTTTTGAACGTTCTGTGACATTCATTTTTCTAAGAGAATCTAAATTTTCATCACTTGCAGATATATTTGGTTTACTATTTGAAAGTACACTCTCATCGTCTGAGTCATTTATAACAATAACTGCTTTTGGAAGCTTATCTTGCCACTTCAAACTTGAACTATCTTGTGTTTCATCAATGAAAGATTCAGATAAATGCAAACTAAAACTTTCTGTTTCAGTTTTATTATCTAGAGCAGTTGAAGAGAATATTTTATCTTTTGAAAAATCAAACGTGTCAATCAATAAGTGATTCGATTTTGATGTTTGGCGTAAATTAAAATCTTCTGTCATATCCATCATTATATATTTCTGATCTTGTTAAAGAACTATACTTCTTGCTCATATAAATTTTTTAAAATTAGTTGCATCAATAGAGAAACTATCAATTCATTCTTGATATTGACCAAAACAGATAGAGGTTCTGAAATTTTAAAATAATTAATGATAATTCTACGTGCGCCAACGCTACAAGTCACATAAACTTACCATGCTCATATGGTTTACGCATTTCATAAGTACTTCATTTAGTATTTAGTATTTGATAAAAATAAAATTAAGATGATAAAATACTTGGAACAAAGGTACGATTTGTTATCAATACAATTTCGGTGTCAACTCACTCAATTATACAGAACTCACCAGAGAACCAGACACCAGACTGCAGACATCAGTTATTTTGAATCGGTCTAACCGCCAAATAATCTAACCTTTAGTTTGGAAGCGCTAATGGCGCGAATATTAAAACGTAACTATTATTTTTATTCAGGACGAATGAAAAGAAGAATAATCTTTTACTTTTTTATAAAAAAATGTATTGTTATCACAATTTTTTCGGTAGTTCGGCTCAATTTTGGTATTTTGTGAGCTCAATTAGTTATTATTAGCCAACATTGAACAATCTTCTCTATATACATTAATAGAAATAACATGTATAGATTTTCCTTTTTTATCATTACAGAAAATAAGTTCTTAACTTAATCCTTTGATTCAATATATACAATTACGTTAAAATATTTTATAGTGATGTATTAGAATAATGATAAAAACATTTAAAACTTTTGTAAATAAGTTGTTTAAAGTTTCCAATCCCATGGTACACATAAAACGCCATCATTCATAACAGAATAATAGTGAGTCACCCACAGCATCACACCATCTAACATAGGCGATAATATTTTTTTATGTAGTAATAAACTTTCACAACACTGTATCATCAAATCAGGTGTAATGCTGTCATCTTTATTCAATGCAGCTAGACCTAACTCTTGAATAGTCTTATCATGCAATTCTTTTTCGAGATATTTTATTCTGTAAACAGTTAATTTTTTAAACATTTTTAATATATGTAATTATTTTGAAAGAATTTTAATTTACTTATTGTAGTGATGTAACCGTTTCATAGCTTCATTAAGATTTTCTGTTATAAAACTTATCAATAAAAAACTAGGGCAAGATGATGGCACAATGAACTGTCCAGTTGGAGACAACATTAGGGGTCCAGCTTCACTGCAAAAAAATATGTTAAAAATATTACTAGTTGTAAATGTTTAATGCTTAGAAATGATTTATGTCCAATTCACCCCTTATTTATTTAATATTTATCTATTTAATATAGGTAAAATTCAATATGTCTGTAGCAGATAAATATTTGTAATATAATTTTTGTCAAACTTACGCTTCAATTACAATTTCATAAGCAGATAAACTTTCTGGCCAAGACTTAGGATATTTTCTTTTTCCACAATAATCAGACAAAGTAGTTGTTAATTGTCTAAGTTGAGATTCATACTGGCCAACCATAACTTTGGGCATAAACTTTCTGCACATAAAAAGTATCCTAATCTCATATGTAAATTTACATATAAATATAATAGCTCACCTTCGACCAACTTTAATATCTAATAGCACTTTAGATACAGCTTTTTCAAATGCAGGCAATCTCAGCAGAACCACATCATATTTTTGTACATTTTTTATGAGCTGAAAAGATAATTGATAAAATTCAATTTGAATTGTTTATGTCCTTGAGAATCGTTACTTACATCCAACCAATTATGTCGAACTTCTCCAGAATTCAGCATCACATTTCCTTCTACACTTATGCCAGTACCATTAGCAAAAACTAAGGTTCTGTCTTTTAAAACTTTCATTGGCTCTGGGTGATGTTGAGCTAAAGCTTGAAAAGCTAATAAACATCCACGATAATGAGTTATGTTCCATCCACAGTCCCAAATAATTTTTTTTAAACCAAGATTCGTTGAGAGAACTTTTTCTAACTTTTTCACCTCTGATCTTATTGGTCGGCATGCCTCAAGTTTAATGTGTGCGTCATTAACGTATTTATCTAAATAAGCTCTAAAGCAACATATTAATGGATTAGAAATTGTAAGTTTAAATATTAAAAAATTTTTTTAGCATTCAAAAAACATCTAACTTTAATGTATCAGGAACTGAAACTATTTTCTGTTTCATAAAAATTGATGCATAAATTGGGTCATCTTCGAAATCAGAAAAATTGATTTCTTGTCCTGCAAAATTATGAAAATTTTTTTTTCTGGAACTTTCATCATATTTTGATGATTTTTCCTCTTCAATCTTATCAATGAATGTAGTTGGCAAGTTACATGCTTTCAGTATAGAAATTATTGTTTTACGAAGATCCTGTTGATTTAATTGTATATTAACTAATGTAAATTTTCCAGCTTTTAATTCTTTTTCATCTTTAGAACGTAAATAAAAGGCCAAGGTTGTAGGTCTGATTGCTCTTTTCTGTTGCAAAGTTTCTAAAGCAGAACTCAACTGCTTTAATGAATTTTCATTCACAGTCTTCAAAAGAATCAATTACATTATCTTTAGAAAAAGATATATCTTTATAGAAACAAAGAATTGATTTAAACTCACTCTTTGTGTAGGAAACTGTCCAAAAAGATCAGGATGAACAGTGAAATAAAAAGGTCTTAATGCTGTAGAAATTTCACTTGTACTTAAAGCTCGTACAATTTTTTTGTTTAAAAACCTGCTGTAAAAAAAAGTATTATTTAGTAACTTGTGCCTTCAAAACAAGAAAGAAAATTTATTAGAACTTTGAAATAAAATTCAAAAGTAATTGTTGGTGAAACTTACCATTGTTTCAGTAAGCAGTACATATTGAACACAAATGTTTGTAAGTTTAACTATCGCATTATGCTTACTTTTACCACATCCATTATTTTATAATTCAACACAATTATATCTCTGACGTATTGCCTTTGACAGAGTTGTTTTGGCTCGTATGATATGAACATCATAGTCTACGTGAGCAGCTGCGCCAAAAATATATTAAGATGATTCTGTTGTCATTGTTCAATGTTTAACCATTTTAACTACCTATAACTATCTGCAAGTGAGAAATTTCTTCTGCTAACAACAGATTGGCTTGTAGCCGCGGTAAATATGATACTAATTTATGAATTCAACTTGCACTCATTTCACATTTGGTACTTTAATTAATGGAAATGTTTTGACATATGTAATCTGAGATATGCAGTGATTTTAATTAAAACTGTTGATTCTCTTAAATCGACGCTACTGACGAAAACTAGCACTTTTTCTATATAAATCTAAGTATATAGAAAAGCGCGAGTTTTCGTAATCTCAATAAGTTTACATGTTTTTAGAAAATGGGCAATTTAGAGAATTGTGTTAATACTTTGTAAACTTTATAACACCTTTTTTAGCATTGATAATATTTTTCGTGAATTAATTTTTTAGAACATTCAATTTTTAAGTAAAAAGAATAGATATCTACAAAAATTAATAGAAAATATTTGATTTCTGTATTGTTAGAAGAAGTGCGTCAATTTATTGGATGCACTAAATCTTTTAATCTATTCATTAGAGTACATTTCAATTTCCAAACTAATGGTGTAGTTGTGAGTTCATTGTAAACTTACTCTAAGACAACAGTAGACTTGAAATAGAAATGACGCTTGCGCCCTGTTTCTTTATATGTGCAGGTGGTTTTATGGAATGAAAAGCTCGTCAGTTCGGATTAAACTAGCTGAGTTATAAGTCGAAGCGTTCATCCATTCAAATATAATATAAGTAAGTTAATTAATATTGTAAGAAAGTATATTGTAAATAAGTCATTCATTTATGAAAAAAGTTGCATAAAAAAAAATTATACGAGTTTTAACTTTAAAATCGATGTTTTACTATTTATTACAAATTTAAGGATTACAAAATTGAAAACTCTTCGCCGATCTTAAATTTTTGGTTTTTAAGGTATCACAAACTCAAAAAGTACACGTTTATTTTAAAATAATTTGATACAACTGTGTGAAATTATTTTTGTCTCAACGTAGCGCTGAATGAATTTAAAACTGCTATAAAATTTGGAACAATAAATGGTGAATTTTGGTTTACATCTGTGAGGGTAACATTTTTTTTTTACAATTCACATACATACTTATAATCAGTAAGTTTAATGTATAATTCAAATGAATATTTCTTAATAGTCAAATAGTTTTTAAATTATTCAAATACCTTCATTTAAAAATGGAACAATTTGTATAATGTAGCATTTAAATGTTTCGATTCAAGGCATTTAATTTTACTTCCTCTATGAATGATACTTTCAAAAATTCAAATTTTTAATGATAACAAATTTAGATAAATTTTCATAAAATTTTAAGGATTCTTTTTCTACATAATTTATATTTTGACATTTACCGTGTATTGTCAAACTTGTATCATCAGACGTGTTTTGCTTTTGAAAATTTTAATTTTGACTTAAAGATAAAGTTCAGTTTTTCAATTAAAAACTATTACTGAGTCATTGAGAGCAAATATCAAGGAGCAAATTAAATTTTTATCTAGGGTGCTAATATCAATGTGAAAATAAAGACTTTCAGATTCATTTAATTTCGACACTTTATCGAAAATACTTTATTACTATAATGTATTTGAGGATTTAGCGCTTTTCTGTACAAGTAAACTTTTTTTAGCTATAACTTTTTTAGTTCCTATTTCGAAATCTTCATATGAATACGTAAAAATAAGATATTATTGATTTGATAAAGTTTGTCTAGAATTTGATATTTTCAGGTTTATGTAGTCAAAATATAAAATTAGAAGGACAGCGATAAAAGAAATAATTGTGTATAAATTGTCAGCATTATCAATGATTCCATACGTGGTTACTGAATTTAAGAAGTTGAATAATAAACCCATGAAAAATGAAAAAATTGGAAAAAAACCGTAAATTTTCAAAAATTGATTGCTGTACAGTTTATAACCAGCTTATATAGTGTAATTAAAAAAGTTTCAAGCGGAATAATGGGGAACAGAGGAATTTTAAATAGGTCCGCAAATTATGTTGAGTCTGAACTCCACCTTCATACATTATCGCAACATCAAAAATTACATAATAACAGTTTTGATCTGCAAACAATAATAGATATTTTAAATAATTTTTATCAAGAATTTTATGGAGAAATTAATTATATTCTTATCTTATTATACATACCAGTTATAATTATCGCCGTAGTTGCCAATATTTTAGTTATTGTTGTGGTTTACAAGTATCGACATATGCGTAGGTGAGAAAAACTTTTTCATTACTTTCGATTAAAAATGTTTACTTTTTTGTTAGAAATTTTCAAAAACCGAAAATATTCAGATCTAATAAATGTAAAAAAATTATCCACGAACTGTAACATTAGAGAGGAGGGCTTACACATTTTTTCAACACATTACTGAAAAAATTCAATCGTGTTGACGCGCCGATTTGTTTGATAAAATGTTATTTATTAGCATACCATGTGACATTATTTTTTGAAATGTTAAAAATGTTTAAGAATGTGTTTGATGTTAATTCAATTATCGAACTCTACTTAAACGATGTTTTACGCAGAACATGATTTAAATGTATTAACCATACACGAATTTTACTGTTTTAGTTTGATTAGAATTAAAAAGTACAATGATGTAACGTCTGAAAACGTCAGAATTTAGAGTTTCATATCTAAAACATTTTTACCACAATTCACGATGTCAGCTCAGTTGTGAAATTTGATTTGAAATTTTAACGCGATGTACTACAGGTTATCTAGCAAAAAATGTCATGACACTGATTTTTTACTTTTAATTAATAAATAAACAAAATTACGAATATTTAAATAAAAATAACGTCAAGTACTGAATATTTTTTCGAATAAAAAAGTTGTAATATTTATTTTTAAATTTTATATTTAAAACTATACCACATTGAAAATCAATATCTGAACAAGTTTGGGAATTTTTCAGATTGTTTTGAGTAATGATTAACAGCTTTAACAACATTTACGCGACGCTCGACCGCCCGCGCATGGCACGTGACGTGTATTATCGTGGCGAATTTTCGTACAAGAAGAATAAGGGCCGAAATATTTTTTTATGATTCTTTCCAAATAGTACTACTGATGGTAAAAACTTATCTTGCTAAATGGAAATGTAGTAGGTAACTGTTTAAATGGATTTTCTTAAACATTACAACAATTTATAAAATTTAAGGAGTAAAATATGTGATCTTTCAAAAATATAATCTTTTTCTCTTTAATAATGTCGACAATGGGATGCATCAAAATCAGAGGTTTAAAAAAAGTAAATGTCAATCAGATGAAATAAAATGATACACACCCTATCCTAGTGAATCCTTCCTTCTACCCAGTCATATTCTCTTCTTCCATTAAAAAAATGAGACAACAACTTGCACTATCATCCTTTCGAACCCTCTAAGTGGTACGTGCAAGCGTTAAGTGTATTAGATGATTGTCGATAAAAGATAATTGATCGATGAAGTCTATATATGAGCCATTTCACGTCGAGGCTCCAATGATACGCTCGCGCGGCATTATTAGGTGAAATCGCCCAATTTCTAATTCTCCAGGAAAACCCCTAAATACAACCACAAAAAATAAGTGACATATGATTTCGATGGGGAATTGCGTCAAATTTATGATGATCGTGTATAATTTTCGATAATTTTCCAATTTTCTTGGAAAAATTTGGCATAAACTTACAAATTCGAATATCTCAAAAACTATAATTTTAAGATTTTTTAATTAGTCTAGATGGAAAAGGGTGGACATTTTTTATCGATATAGTGTAGTTGTTTTCCCAAAAAAGCGTTTATTGATTTTCTCTAGATATTACTCGATAAATATGAGGCGTGAGGCCGTCCGTGTACCACAAAAAATTTCTTTTCGTATTCTTCGATATATTCTAAAACTGTTTCATTCGTTAAATTTGTGCATTTCAAGCCTTTATTTTTGAACTAAAACGTCCTATTTACTAATCTAATTGAATTTTATCTTAATTATCGCACGGATGTTGCAGTATACAAAGGCTTAAATTTAAATTCTCCTTACATAAAAATATTCAGTATAAATACTATTTATCATGCTAGTTGAAAAAGTGTCGTGGTCTTTTCAAATATATTTCGAACTTGAAGCAAATGTGTGCATATTATAATTTCCGTAAAATAATTTCACTGAAATAACAAATTTTATATCCGGGTTCACACATAGAAATATCTGTTTATTCAGATGATTCATCGTTCATTTATATCCATACGAAAATTAGGTTACTCTATGTATATTTCATTAAATTTTTAAGCTTTTAATTTTCAAAGACTCATTTACGGTTTCATTGAAATTGATTGAAAATATCCCTAAAATTTTCCACTAACACTATAAACTTTAATATACTTTTATCAACTTTCAGAAACTTTAAAAAAAATTTATAAATTTGCATTTTTATACAAACTTTTATATGATCTCAAAACCTAATAATTCATAATAGTTTATAAAACCATATAAAGGTTTTTTCTTAAAAAACGCTTACATATTTTAAGGCCTGAAAAAATGCTTTGCAAGAAACTGTATTTATTTAAATTATTAAAATTTCTTAAAATACTTTTTCGTGTTTTAAATATTTTTTAATTTCAGTATAAACTGAATAATCGGAATGAATGAATCAATTCGAATCCCATCATTATACTTTATAAGTTTGCCTTTTTTTGTAGTTGTTTCACACGAAACTATCATAAATAGAAAATTTTTTCTTTCTTATGATGGCCAAGCTGCCGCGACATAATATTTTATGTGATTGATTTCAGAAAAAAAAGATTGTTTGTGGTTGTAATTAAAAAAAAAGAATACAATCGCTAAAAAAATTTCTAATTAAGTTTAGAGCTTCAATTAATTATATGTGGTAACTGACAAGATTGCTATTTTATGAATCATAAAAAATTTCTCATATTCTTAGCTAGAAGAGTAAATATTTAGGTGTGACAAAATGAAGCGATCGTGCAATTTTCAAAGAATTATTTAAGCTATGTGTTTATAAGATAAGAATTAAAAAGCATTGAAAAAATGTGAATTTTATTTTATCGAGCTTGCGTACATACAACCGTCTAGGGTATGATATGAATAATTTTATTTTAATTTAATAGCCTAAATATGATTTTCTAATCTGCGATTAAATTATTAACGTTAAACTCTTATAAACTGGTCTTTATACTATTAATTGATTGGATAATAAAAGAATATTCACAATTTTTTGAGGGATTAATATGGTTTACAAGATCAAATTAGGAGTTAAGTTAACAATACTATAATCTGTAATAAATATAATTATAATCTGTAATAAAGTATAGAATTAATAACACTTTATGTATTTTTTATTAAAATTTAGAGCACCGGGATTTCAAAGGTCATATTATCCATAGAAAACTGGTTCAAAATGTACCTTAAGGCTTAATCCATTGACGACCAAAATTCTTGATTATTTTGTTGGGTTTTGCAGCGATTGTTTTGTAGTTTTAGGCCTTAAAAAATTTGGCACGATCCTATTTCAATGTAAAATTTAATGCCCTTTCGGAAACTAGGCTCAAAATTTTGATTATTTAGATAGTAAAAAAGTTATAGCTCTTTTAACAAAAAAAACGTAAAAATTTTTGCAAAAAATCAATTTCTCGATTTTTTTAGCGATGTTACCGCTAAGGAATCACGATATAAACATGATCAGAGGTGATCACGACCATCAAAGTATCTCAGGGAATTTTTATGGAACTTTCGAACCACTCCTTCAAACAAAAAATAACTCATATTCATATAAAACATAACTCATTTTTTACTCGAAAACGATTGAATATAAAGAAAAAGTACACAAAAAAAAATTTGGAAAGTGGTTGGAGATTTATTTCACATGCCTAGGGACTTTTCTGTTTTTCCCGGCCTAGGGCAGTCATATACTATTTCTCCTCCTCTGACCGAAAGCTCGTTTTCCTTCCCTGCCAATTATGTAACGGGGAATAAATTCAATATTATGACCGGCTAGTTCGCACAGCGTGAATCTACGAGGATATTGATTCCGGGCTACAAAATACTTACTCGTCGAGTGAAATGCTCGGCGAGTCACTTACTTTCAATGGTGAACCTCGTGCGCCGTGGGTCGGCGAGTAATCTCCTCGTTGAGAATTTCGAGTGCTGAAATGGGCAGGTTATAGTAGGAAACTATTCAGCCATATATTTAATTATTAAATTAATGTGCTCGATTTATTAACTATTCGCGTGATTCACAATTCAATACAAGTAACTTCACAATCCACGGTGAAAAGGGATAAAATAGGGTCAATCGCTCGCTCGCATGTACCAATAGTTATCTCTTACTTTTAACCGCTTGCAGATCTGTTTCGGAGTTCGCTCAACGGGTTGTGAGGTACAGAGTGCACTCGTAGGCGTGTTCTGGAGCTTGCTCTTTGGTTTGTTGTGTAACGGCGGTAGCTCGACAATCGCAGTGTCGTGGTGGCAAGGGTTGGGACGCACAGTAGGAGAGACCGGGGCAAGCGTGGAAGTACGGACAGTTTTTAACATTGAATAAAAAATTTTCTAGAGAAGAAAAAAATCTGAAAAAATTTGAGCCGTTAGTTAAATACGTACTCTTTAATAAAATAAAAAAAAAATTCTATGTTTCGTGATTTTAGGCAATCAATAATTGAATTATAATAATTAGTTAAATTTATGCATTTTCTGATTATTTCGATTGGCTGCCATTTGACCAAAAATGGATGAAATCTTACGATGAAATTTTTTTTGGTAGAACAACTTTCAAACTTGAACCGGCAATTTTTTATTTTTTTAATTTTTATATTTATACATTATTTTCATTAGTTTGAAAAAGTTTGAAAAATGGGGCAAGATTGGCAATTAAAGCGGGGCATATTTAGCACACTGATTCGCAACTATCATTCGCGCGGCACCTGTCGATAACAGTACACGCATTGCGTACCTAACCTCGATTCGCAAACAATTTTTTAGACAAAAGTTTAAACAAATAGTTGTGCGACATGGTTCGACATTACAAAAAAAAGAACACAAAAAGAATGTGGAGTGATGAGTGCATGTACCAGGCGGTGGAACTTGCAATGCAAGGTACTTCTGTGAGTTATGCAGCAAAAGAATTTTGCATACCGAGATCAACCTTGCAAATCAAGTTGAATGAGGCTAAAGTCAAAAATAATATTCATGCAGCTTTAGAAATTAAACCATGTAAGTAA